CACGGGCCACTACGCCCAGCTAATTTTTTGTATTTTTAGTAGAGACGGAGTTTCACCACGTTGACCAGGATGGTCTCCATCTCTTGACCTCGTGATCCACCTGCCTTGGCCTCCCAAAGTGCTGGGATTACAGGCGTGAGCCACCGCGCCCGGCCCTATATTATTTATTTTTATTCAATGTTTCCATGTTTTTATGAGAAAGGTTTTTCAGAATTTCAAGTCCAGAGTATGACTGGATGTGGAGGTATGTTTATAAAGTTAATAGTACATGTTACAGGATATTTTTTTTTTTAGATGACGTCTCACTCTGCTGCCCAGGCTGGAGTGCAATGGCACAATTTTGACTCACTGCAACCTCTGCCTCCCGGGTTCAAGCAATTCTCCTGCTTCAGCCTCCCAAGTAGCTGTGATTATTGGCATGCACCACCACACTCAGTTAATTTTTTATTTTTAGTAGAGAAGGGGTTTTCCGATGTTGGCTGGGCTGGTCTTGAACTCCTGACCTCAGGTGATCTGCCCGCCTCAGCCTCCCAAAGTGCTGGGATTACAGGCGTGAGCCACCGCACCTGGCATATAGGTAATTTTATGTTTAAAAAATTTGGGTGGGCAATTTGCCACTACACTACACTTTTGCACCTGTACCATCCTGAAGCAACATCATGAACAGGTATTTATCTTAGAAAAATGTGTTGCATGTTTATAAATACAGTTGACCCTTAAACAATGTTGGGGGTAGGGGTGCCAATCCCCTACACAGTCAAAAATGTGCATATAACTTCTGACCTTCCAAAAACTTAACTACTAATAGTCTACTCTTGACCGGAAGCCTTACCAATAATATAAACTATCAATAGCATATTTTATATGTTATATTTATTATATATTTGTATTCTTACAATAAAGTAAGCTGGAGAAAAGAAAATGCTATTACGAAAATCATGAAGAACAGAAAATATATTTACTCCTCATTAAGTGGAAGTGGAACATCATAAAGGTCTTCATTCTCTGTTTTTCCTGTGTCAGTCTTGCTCTGTCACCCAGGCTGGAGTGCAGTGGCATGATCTCAGCTCACTGCAACCTCTGCCTCCCTAGTTCAAGCCCATTCTCTTGCCTCAGCCTCCCAAGTACCTGGGATTACAGGTGTGTACCACCACACCCAGCTAATTTTTGCATTCTTAGCAGAGACGGGGTTTTGCCGTGTTGGCCAGGCTGGTCTCAAACTCCTCGCTTCAAGTGATCTGCCCGCCTCAGGCTTCAAAAGTGCTGGGATTACAGGTGTGAGATCCCACACCCTGCTGAGATTTTTTTTTCTTTGACCCATGTGTTATATAGGTCTTTTTTTTTTAGATGGGGTTTTGCTTTTGTTGCCCATGGCATGATCTTGGCTCACTGCAACCTCCGCCTCACAAGTTGAAGCGATTCTCCTGCCTCAGCCTCTCGAGTAGCCGAGATTACAAGCTCACATCACCACACCTGGCTAATTTTGTATTTTTAGTAGACAGGGTTTCTCCATTGTTGGTCAGGCTGATCTTGAACTCCTGATCTCAGGTGATCCATCCATCTTGGCCTCCTAAAGTGCGTGCCCGGCCATAGAAGTAGGTTTTTAATTTCCAAGTATTTGGGGATTTTTCCAGTTGTTGCTTTTGAGTATAATTCCACTTCGGTCTGGGAGCAGGCATGGCATGAGTTCTATTATTTTACAATTTAAGGTGTGTTTTAGGGTTCAGAATGCAGTCTATCTTAGTGAATGTTGTGTGTGAGCTTGAGAAGAATGTGTGCTATTCTGCTGCTGGAAGAAGTAATCTGGAAATGTCAATTATATCCAGCTTAGTGATGGTGCTGTTGAGTTCAACTATGTGCTTAGTGATTTTCTGCCTGCTGAACCTGTCCATCTGATAGAGGAGTGTTGAGGTCTCTACCTAATAGTGAATTCATGTATTTCTCTTTGCATTTCTGTCAGGTTTTACTCTGTTGTAAGGAGCATACATATCAAGAATTATTATATCTTTAGGAGAAACTAACCCCTGATAACTTCATCATTATATAATAGCTCCCTTCATCCTTGATAATTTTCGTTGCTCTAAACTTAGCTTTGTCTGAGATCACTGTAACTATTCCCACTTTCTATTAGTGTTAGCACATTAAATCTTTCTCTGTTCATTTACTTTTAACCTTACACGTGTATATTTTAAGTGCATTTCTTGTAAACAACATGCTGTTGGGTCTTGCTTTTTTGATCCACTCTTGACAATCTTTTAATTGGCACATTTAGACCATTGACATTCAAAGTGATTATTGATATCATTGGGTTAATATCTACCACATTTGTTACTGTTTTCTATTTGTTGCCCTTGTTATTTGTTCCTGATGAGGCTTTTCATTCTTTCTCTCCCTTTTGTGGTTTTGACAATTTTTTTTTTTTTTAATGAGACGGAATCTTGCTCTGTTGCCAGGCTGGAGTGCAGTGGCGCAATCTCAGCTCACTGCAACCTCCACCTCCTGGGTTCAAGCGATTCTTCTGCCTCAGCCTCCTGGTACCACAGGCGTGTGCCCCCATGCCTGGCTAATATTTTTTGGATTTTTAGTAGAGACGAGGTTTCGCCATGTTGGCCAGGATGGTTTACCGAGACTGGAGTGCAATGGCACCATCTCGGCTCACGGCAACCTCCGCCTCCTGGGTTCAGGCAATTCTCCTACCTCAGCCTCCTGAGCAGCTGGGATTACAGGCACGCACCATCATGCCCAACTAATTTTTTGTATTTTTAGTAGAGATGGGGTTTCACCATGTTGACCAGGATGGTCTCGATCTCTTGACCTCGTGATCCACCCGCCTTGGCCTCCCAAAGTGCTGGGATTACAGGCATAAGCCACCGCGCCTGGCCGTTTTGACATTTTATGTGATTCCATTTATCTCTACCTCTTAGCATGTCAGTTGTATTTTATTTTTAAAATTTTTTTAATTTTGCCCACAACGAACATCATATTTATTTTAAAAAACTTTTTGTATTGTATTGGTTGCCCTAGGATTTGCAATATCCATTTACAACGAATCAATTTCACAGGTAGTGTAATGCTTTATAATGACAAAATATTTCTAATTCCCTAATCTTGTCTCTTTGTATCTTTGGTGTCATTCATTTCACTTATATATAAGCATATGTAAGCATATCTATCTATCTGTGTATACATAAACACACATACATTATTGCTATTATTTTGAACTGTTATCTGTTAGATCAACTAAGACAAATAAAAATATTTATTTTACCTTCACTTATTCTCCAATGCTCTTTTTAAAAAAAAAATGTACATCTGAGTTTCTAATCTGTATCACTTTCCTTTTCTGAGAAACTTGTTTAAATATTTCTTGCATGACAGGTCTATGGGCAACAATGTCCCTCATTTTTTGTCTGAAGAATGTCCTTTGTTATCCTTCACTTTTGAAGGATAATTTTTTTTCCTTCTGTTAGAAAGTTATTAGAGGATAATTTTGTACAGTACTGAATTCTAGGTTGGTGACTTTTTCTTCTTAATACTTTAAATATTTCACTCCACTCTCTTCTTGCTTGCATGGTTTCTGAGGGGAAGTAGGATGTAATTCTTATTTTTGCTCTTCAGTAGGTAAGGTGGTTTATTTCCCTTTGGCTTCCTTCAAGTTTTCTTTTTTTTTTTTGAGACAGTCTCACTGTTACTCAGGCTGGAGTGCAGTGTGCAATCTTGGCTCACTACAACCTCTGCCTCCAGGTTCAAGAGATTCTCGTGCCTTACCCTCAAGTAGCTGGGATTACAGGCACATGCCACGATGCCCAACTAATTTTTGTATTTTTAGTAGAGACAGGGTTTTACCATGTTGGCGGGGCTGGTCTCCCGACCTCCGGTGATCTGCCTGCCTCAGCCCACAAAATGTTGGAATTACAGGAATGTGCCATCACACCTGGCTAATTTTTATATTTTTAGTAGAGATGTGGTTTCACCACATTGGCCAGGCGGGGGTCAAACTCCTGACCTCAAGTGATCTACCTGCCTTGGTCTCCTAAAGTGCTGGGATTACATGTGTGAGCCACTGAGACTGGCCAAGATTTTTATCTTTGATTTTCTGAAGTTTGACTACGATATGCCCAGGTGTCTTTTTTTGGCATTTACTATGTTTGCTGTTCTCTGAATTTCTTGTATCTACAGTCTGATGTTTGACATTAATTTGGGGAAATTTTCAGTCGTTATTGCTTCTAGTATTTTTTTCCGTTCGTTTCTTTCTTCTGATTTCCCATGATTCATCTTACATCTTTTGCAGTAGTCTCTGAATTCTTGGATATTTTGTCTTTTTTGCCTTTGCTTTTCAGTTTTCAAAGTTTCTACAGTCATATCCTCAAGTTCAGCGATTCTTTCCTCAGTCACATCCAGTGTAGTAATGAGCCCATTAAAGGCATTCTTCATTTCTATTCCAATGTTGTTAACTGCTAGCATTTCTTGATTCTTACAATTTCCATCTTTCTGCTTATATTATCCATTTGTTCTTGAATGTTGTCTTTTTCCTTTAAAGCCTTTAGCACATTAATTATAGTTTTAAAAAAATTATTGGTTTGATAAATTCCAACATTCTTGCCGTATCTGAATCTGGTTCTAGTGCTCGTTCTGCCTTTTCAAATTGGTTTTGTCTTTTCATATGCCTTGTAATTTCTTGGTAGTGGACATGATGTGGTAAGAAAGGAAAAAAAAAGGTCTTCTGTCTGGTCCTCACCTGGAGTAGGCTGAGGAGCAGAAGGAGGGCTTGGTCTTGCTGTCTCGGGTGATGCAGAGGCGGAAGAGGTGGCAGGGAGGCAGGCACACTTAGTATGACTTTAAAAAAAAAAACTACAGATAATTGGACCAGAGTAGTTTGAACCTATGTTGCTCAAGGGTATGTAATTTTTGTGTAAGCTTGTGATTGCAGCAGTTTTAAGTCTAAAATCAGCAAAAGTGGGTCACCAGTCTTCCTTTACTATTAAAAAAAAGCACAAAAGTTTAATTTTAAATGAGACATTTCATTTTTATTGAATAAAAACATGATTATACAAACATGAAAATGTATTCAAATATTTGAATACATTAAATTTTTTTGCAACTTCATATGCTTTATATCAAAGTATTGAGTTCAAAGCAGTATTATGCTTGGTAATAATTACCAAAATTCTGATTTTGCTCTACTTTTCATCAGGATTTCTGGGACACTTCCCAACTAAACATATTAAGATTCTATAAAAATAAAAGCTGACAACAGTCTTCCAAATAAGAGCAATTTGAGGGTGAGAAATAGCAGTTGTCTCAGAATGCACAACTAAACCACAGGACACATTTAAGTTACAAAGTTTTTAAAACTTCAAACAATTCCTGGCCAGGCATGGTGGCTCACGCCTGTAATTTTAGCACTTTGGGAGGCAGACGTGGGTGGATCACGAGGTCAAGAGATCGAGACCATCCTGGTCAACAAGATGAAACCCCGTCTCTACTAAAAATACAAAAATTAGCTGGGCGTGGTGGTGTGCACCTGTAGTTCCAGCTACTCAGGAGGCTGAGGCAGGAAAACTGCTTGAACCCATGAGGCGGAGGTTGCGGTGAGCCGAGATTGTGCCATTGCACTCCAGTCTGGGTAACAACAGTGAAACTCTGTCTCAAAAACAAACAAACAAAAAAAAAAAAACAAAAAAAAATCTAGAACAAATTTTTTTCTCAATAGCTCCCCCAATTCACAAAAATCCTAGTGAAATGGATAGCAAGAGTGTAATGAGAAGGTGCTATGGACACTGGCTATATGGGAGATGTTCTGATTGCCACACTTCCTCTGAGTAAAGCAATTAGGATGGAAACGTGGACTAGAGCCTATATAATTTGCACTGTTGTGAAGCTTGTTATGTAGCCATAAAATTGTCATATAATGTCTAAAGACCTTTTCCTGGCCCTACAATATTAATCATGCTCATTATAGAACAGTTGGAAAATAGAGAAAAATACAGAAAAGAAAATAATAACACTGTAATCTTAACACAGAGATACCTACTGGCAACATTTTGGTGTTCATTTCTTGTCTTTTTCCTAAGGATACAAAAATACAAATATGTACATATAAAAACGCAGTTATATTGTTGACAGAATCTGATATTTTGCTTTCTTCACTGCTACAATGGTCTTGTGCTGCTCTCCCTTCCCTTTATATAGTCTTCATCAGAAGTTATATTAATTGCCAAATAAATCTTTCATTGACTGAATATACTATAATGTAAAATAATTTAAATGGTATTTATGATTTTATAAATCTTTTTATAAGATTTATAAAATTTTATAAGCTTTTAAGGTTATATTTTGTATATTCATTTTTGTTATTTTGTGTAAAATTTTATACAGGATGGAAGTATGTATCACATTTTTCACAACTGATGCTTCTTGAGCATGCAGTTCACTAGCTCAAGGCCTCGTTATGCTTCCCTAAGTCCTCAAAGGCTGGGAAGGGACAGCAGGTTAGACATTGCACAAGGATATTACACCCCAGCATTGAAGGTCACATTCCAAAAGGTCCAGTTGAAACTGACTGATTCCATTTTAAGTCACACATGGATGACTGAAGGCCTGTTTGTAAAGTTCACATGCTGAACTCCTACAAGCTGTAAAACAGAGTTGATAGGTTTGTGATCCAATCTATTCTTATCGCGGTGTATAAAATGGATGTTGTTACCTAGAAGAGAATAAGAATAAAACGCTGAGGCATAGTAAGTATTATTCATTAGATTTACTGCTTACTAAAATCAAGGAAGCTTTTCAACCTTTAATTAGTCCAAAGGGAAAAATTAATTACCTGGAGTACATTAAATTCTCTATATAATGGCATAATAATTTTTAATCATGGTAATAAAGTATGACAAGGATTATGGTTAAATAAGAGTGATACTTAATGTTTTATGAGATCCAAGGGGAAAGATTTTTAAATTATAAACTTGTTAGGTTTTATTAAATATAATTAAATAAAATGTCCTGTCAGGCAGGCAGAACACGGAACTCACATAGGTATCAAGCTGGAAAATCACATCTGTTTCTTAAATCTAATAATAGAATAAATATAATAAGGGAACAAATCACTCACTTCAAAAAATTCACTTCTAAATATTGATTTAACAGGCTATCTATACTATAACCATAGCCCAAAAGAGGCTCTAAAATAAGGTCTTAGAAGACAACCAGTTACAATACACTTAGATGTCCACAATCCTTATATCTGTTCAAATACAGATTTTATAATTTATAACCATAAATTTACAATGTAGTTTGTTTGAGTCTTGGACCACAGACCAGAATTTTAACTTAAACCATTAGCTTAAGTAAGTATCACATGAGACGTGTTTCCTAAGCACAGCTGGCCCTCTGCATCCATGGGTACCACATCCTCATTCAGCAAACCATAGATTGAAATTTAGGAAAAAAAGGATAGCTTATGTGTACTGAACATGTACAGACTTTTTCTTTGTCATTATTCCCTATACAATACAGTACAACAACTACTTACGTTCCATTTGGAATTATAAGTAGAGATGACTTAAAATGCAGGGGAGAACGTGCATAGCTTATATGCAAATACTACAGCATTTATGAAAGACACTTGAGCATCTCAGATTCTGGTATCCACTGCAGGTCCTGGAACCAATCCCCCGTGGATGCCGAGGGATGACTGTATGGTCCCAGGTTGGCACACACATGATGCTCTCCATGTGCTCTTTATTCTTACACAACAGAAGGTGTGGACAAATGATTCAGAGACATGAAGATTAGGGACTCAAAACATCCCCTTTTGGGTCTGAGGATGGAAATAAGTCATCCAGAAATAAGGCTAATGTCATTCTGGGCTAATGCATAGGACTCAATCTCATTTATCGGGGCCTCTTTTTTTTTTTTTTTTTTTTGAGACGGAGTTTCATTCTTGTTACCCAGACTGGAGTGCAATGGCACGATCTTGGCTCACCGCAACCTCCGCCTCCTGGGTTCAGGCAATTCTCCTGCCTCAGCCTCCTGAGTAGCTGGGACTACAGGCACGCGCCGCCATACCCAGCTAATTTTTGTATTTTTAGTAGAGACGGGCTTTCACCTTGTTGACCAGGATGGTCTCAATCTCTTGACCTCGTGATCCACCCGCCTTGGCCTCCCAAAGTGCTGGGATTACAGGCTTGAGCCACCGCGCCCGGCCCAGGGCCTCTTTTTATAACTAATCTAACTGGTGTAAATTCATGAGGAAGGGAAAGGGAGATTTTGGCTATAATATTCCAGCTGCCAAAAGCCCAAAAGTCCTATTATTCAGTCAAAATCCTCATTCTAAAAAAATATGGTATTTATGAAAGTAAATATTAATTTTATAACTATGCTCATTAAGACAGTTTTAGTCCCAGCTACTCAGGAGGCTGAGGCAGGAGAATTGCTTGAACCCAGAAGGTAGAGGTCGCGGTGAGCCGAGATCGTGCCATTGCACTCCAGTCTGGGTAACAACAGCAAAACTCCGTTTCAAAAAAAAGAATTTTAAGGAGGAAGAAAAAGGAAAAAGATGACATAACACAGTGATTTAGGCTTTTTGGCTCTGTCTGATATAGGTGTTTGTACTTTGCTACAATGCTGGAACAGAGTAGAGATCAAACACTTAACACTTAGCAGACATGAGCCAAAGCCATCTCAGGTGGTCCACACCCATCAATAAAGTTGTTAATAGTGTGTGACTTATAGTTGGACCTCAAGCCCATTCTTTTTTTTTAAATATGGAGTTTCCTTCTTGTCACACAGGCTGGAGTGCAGTAACATTATCTCAGCTCACTGCAACCTCTGCCTCCCAGGTTCAAGTGATTCTCCTGCCTTAGCCTCCCAAGTAGCTGGGATAACAAGCATGTGCCACCATACCCAGTTAATTTCTTGTGTTTTTAGTAGAGACAAGTTTCACCATATTGACCAGGCTGGTATCGAACTCCTGGCCTCAAGTGATCCACCCGGCTCAGCCTCCCAAAATGCTGGGATTACAGATGTGAGCCACCATGCCCGGGCTCAATCCCATTTTTTTTTTTCTGAGGCGGAGTTTTGCTCTTGTTGCCCAGGCTGGAGTGCAATGGCACAATCTCAGCTGACTGCAACCTCCGCCTCCCGGGTTCAAGCGATTTTTCTGCCTCAGTAGCTGGGATTATAGGCATGCACACCCCGCCTGGCTAATTTTGTATTTTTAGTAGAGATGGGGTTTCTCCATGTTGGTCAGACTGGTCTTGAACTCTCAACCTCAGGTGATCCGCCCGCGTCAGCCTCCCAAAGGGCTGGGATTATAGGCAAGAGCCACCATGCCCAGCTCAATCCCATTTTTATGGGATAAGCTGTCCCTAGCACTGACTTGCTTGCTGACATTGAGCCAGTTCTTTTAGGTATAAATAACTACAAGAATTCTTTTGTTGACAAAAAAAGTGTGTGATGATTTTCCCCTATTTGGAAATGTTCGTCTCCACTGAACATTTTTAAATAGGGGAGTGTCATAGCCATATACAGATCACCAACCCACAGGTGACTGTGGGAAATCATCCAGGCATGGGATGATGGGCACACTCATCAAATGCATAAACATCAAAATACACAGAAACCTCTGAAAACAAAACATGCCCTCCTACAAAAGCACTCCTGACTATAATGTCGAGATGTCCATTTGTACATGGTGTCTGCTTTATGAAGAAAGTGCTGGCCTCTGAACTCGTAAAAGGCACAAGATGCCTACTGCCGAACTTGGGGCTCTGATGCTCACCTGGACCTAAAATGAGGGTCCCACCTTGCTGAGCTGGGTCTCCTTGAAAATCAAAGAGAGGGCCGGTCACTGCCCGCCACAGGCTCTGAAGGCTTCCTGAGAGTAGATTTGACTTTACGTGGGGGCTCTGTCCTGAAATGTTGAAAATTGTCTTTAGATGTCATTTTATATTCAATTCAATATTAAGAATATAATGTATTTCTAGAAAACATTCTCTATCTTTCTTCAAAGAATGGTTTCTCAACCATTTACTACTAACATTTGGCTCAGATCATTCTTTGTCCTGTATGATACAGGGTGTTCTGCAACATCACTGCCTTCTATACCCACTAAATACCAGAGGCACCGTTTACCAAGTTGTAAACAACCAAAAATGTCTTCAGACAGTGCCAAATGTCTCCCAGAGGAGAGAGGAGTAAATGTCCCAGTTAACAACTACTGCTTTAAAGGAAAAAGTGATGATGGACCCAGATCACTTTCTGCCACAGAAAAATGTCAACTACAGTCTTCTCAAATTAGCAGTGCTTTCCATTTTAGTTCCCCATTTATACTCTGTTTAGTCTCTCACTTATTAATAGGCAGCTACACTCCTTTTCTTTCTTTCTTTCTTTTTTTTTTTGAGAGAGTTTCGCTGTTGTTACCCAGACTGGAGTGCAATGGCAAGATCTTGGCTCACTGCAACCTCCGCCTCCTGGGTTCAAGCAATTCTCCTGCCTCAGCCTCCAGAGTAGCTGGGACTACAGGTGCGCACCACCATGCCCAGCTAATTTTTGTATTTTTACCAGGATGGTCTCGATCTCTTGACCTCGTGATCCACCCGCCTCGGCCTCCCAAAGTGCTGGGATTATAGGCGTGAGCCACCGCACCCAGCCTGCAGATAAAGTTTTCTAAGTTCTGATAATTACAAGGAATTGTGGCAAGGGCAGAGAACACAGAAATATACAGAGAACATAGAAAATAAACATGAAACTCTCCAACTAACTAGACTATCTGGCCCCCTTAAGTGCAACACAAGAGTATACAGGGACGCACAGGTAAGCAATGGCTTCTGCGTGAAGAGTGTCTCAGAGCCACTGTGAGTTAAGTGATTTCAAATGGAAAGTGGGATTTTCTCAATTAAAGGAGATGGAGTATTTAACGCCATGGTACTGAGGTATAAAAATATGTGAACCTAATATTACTTTCTGTTTAATTACAAAAGTAAAATGTACTTGTAAAAAATACAAAAGCCAATTTTCTCACTCCCCTCCTTGGGGTAAACACTACCATATCTTTTAAAACCTATTTCGGCCGGGTGCGGTGGCTCAAGCCTGTAATCCCAGCACTTTGGGAGGCCAAGGCAGGTGGATCACGTGGTCAAGAGATCGAGACCATCCTGGTCAACATGGTGAAATCTCATCTCTACTAAAAAGACAAAAAATTAGCTGGGCATGGTGGCACGTGCCTGTAGTCCCAACTACGCAGGAGGCTGAGGCAGGAGAATTGTATGAACCCAGGAGGCGGAGGTTGCAGTGAGCCAAGATCACGCCATTGCACTCCAATCTGGGTAACAACAGCGAAACTCCGTCTCAAAAAAAAAAACAAAACCCCCCATTTCATTACACAGACACACGTGCGCGTGCACACACACACACACGGTATTTATGAAAATCATTTTTGTTTTCACAAAAATGAAACCATAATGAAAATACTTCTGCAACTTATTTTCATTCAATAGTGCTTTACTAACAGCCTTCCATGTCATTACACCCAGAAAATGAATCTTTTGGAGTCTGGTGTATGTAGATCACTTATTAGAGTAATAAAAACAGGCAAAGGCTGGGCACGATGGCTCATGCCTGTAATCCCAGAATTTTGGGAGGCTGAGGTGAGTGAATTACGAGGTCAGGAGTTCAAGACCAGCCTGGCCAGCATGGTAAAACCCCGTCTCTACTAGAAATAAAAAAAAGTTATCCAGGCATAGTGGCAGGCACCTGTAATCCCAGCTACTCAGGAGGCCAACGCAGGAGAATTGCTTGAATCTGGGAGGTGGAGGTTGCAGTGAGCTGACATCACTCCACTGCACTCCAGCCCTGGTGACAGAGTAAAACTCTGTTTCAAAAAAAAAAAAAAAGCCCAATTTATGAACTGACCATGTTTCCCTATGCATATATACACAAATATAAAAATACACCATCAGTGTTTTCTATTTGAGACATGTTATGTCTTACCTGAGGAGGCAATTTCTTCACCTCTTTTCATTCCCAATCTTTTATAAATTTCTCTCTCAGGATCGACATAGATTTCATGAGAATATCCAGTCAGTTTGCAAAAAGACTGAAAAGAGAGAATAGTTGGAATTTTTACAAGAACAAATGAGAGAAAAGTAATGACAATTTAACTTCAGTCAAGTTAGCCTACATTTAGTGGCTTAAATAATGTGATTTTTATGTCTTTAACAGATTTTATTCATTCGTCTCCCAATGTACTAGTTATTTACCTCAATATGATGGTAGGATGACTGTCCAATCACTATCAAGGTGACATTTGCTTCCTTAGGAGAAAAAAAGGATGTGTATACATCATTAGAAATCATGCATGTTTTATACAACATCCCCTAATCCAACTCTTCTGTTTCATTCTAATGCCACCTATAGGGTTCTAGAGGAATGGAATAAACAGCAAAATTGGGTGAGCCAATGCAAAGAAATGCATGGTAAAATATTAATTCAGATGCTTTTGCTAAGTAGGAGTTTCAAGACTTACATGTAAGACCTAAAAGTATAAAACGACTGGAAGAAAACTACTACATGATGTGGATTTAAACAATGATTTCTGGAATATGACCTCAAAAATACAGGCAACAAAAGAAAAAATAGACAAATGGGACTATAGCAAACTAAAAAGCTTCTGCACAGACAAGGAAACAACAGAAAAGAGACAACTCACAGATTGAGAGAAAATATCTGCAAACTAGACATCTGATAAGGGGCAAATACCCAAAATATAAAGGAAACTCAAACAACTTAGCAAGAATCAACAGCCTGATTAAAAAATGGACAAAAGGCCACGCATGGTGGCTAATGTCTGTAATCCCTTCCCTTTGGGAGGCAGAGGCAGGTGAATCAACCGAGGTCAGGCGTTTGAGACCAGCCTGGCCAGCATGGCGAAACCCCATCCCTACTGAAAATACAAAAATGAGCTGGGCATGGTGGTACATGCCTGTAATCTCAGCTACTCAGGAGGCCGAGGCAGGAGAATCACTTGAACCCAGAAGGCTGAGGTTGCAGTGAGCCAGGACTGTGCCACTGCTCTCTAACCTGAGGGGTAGAGTGAGACTCTGTCTTAATGGACAAAGGATATGAATAGACAGTTCTCAAAAGACATACAAATGGCCAAGAGATACATGAAAAGATGCTCAAAAGCAGTAGTCATCAGGGAAATACAAAATAAAACTACAATGAGGTATCACTTCGCACTTGGTAAGTGGCCATCACTAAGATCCGAGATAAGTGTTGGTGAGGATGTGGAGAAAAAGGAAGTTTTTTTTTTGAGACGAAGTTTCGCTCTTGTTACCCAGGCTGGAGTGCAATGGCGCGACCTTGGCTCACCGCAACCTCCGCCTCCTGGGTTCAGGCAATTCTCCTGCCTAAGCCTCCTGAGTAGCTGGGATTACAGGCACCCACCACTGTGCCCAGCTTATTTTTTTTACATTTTTAGTAGAGACAGGGTTTCACCATGTTGACCAGGATGGTCTCGATCTCTTGACCTCGTGATCCACTTGCCTTGGCCTCCCAAAGTGCTGGGATTACAGGCTTAAGCCACCGTGCCCGGCCGAAAAAGGAAGTGTTGTACATTGCTGTTAGGAATGTAAATTATGCCATTATGGAAAAGAGTCTGGAAGTTACTAAAAAAATTAAAACTAGAACTATGATCCAGCAATCCCACTACTGGGCATTTATCCAAAGGAAATTAAATCAGTATGCTGAAGAGATATCTGCACTCCCATGTTTTATTACAGCATTATTCATAATAGTCAAGATATAGAAGCAAACTCAAGTGTTCAACAACGGATAAATACAAAGAAAATGGGGTAGCACAATGTAATACAACGTAATATTATTTGGTCATAAAAAAGAAAAGACATTTTTCTGTTATTTGTGACAACACTGGATGCACCTGGAGGACATCATCTAAGTGAAATAAGCCAGGCACAGAAAGGAAAACAGCACGATCTCACTTAGATATGGAATTGAAAAAAGGAGTAGGATGATGGTTACCAGAAAACTCGTTACTCAGGAATGAGAAATAGGGAGATGTTCAAAGGGTGCAAAGTTTCAGTTAAAGAGGAAGAACTTTTGGAGATCTACTTACTGCACAGCATGGCAACTATAGTTAATAATATATTATATACTTAAAATTGCTCAAAGACTAGTTTTTACATGTTCTCACCACAAAATAACTATCTGACATGATGGATATATTAGTTATCTCGATTTAATCATTCCACAAAGTAAATGCATATCCAAATATTACACTGTATGTCATAAACATATACAATTATGTATGTCAATTTTTAAAAAGAGAATAAAAGGATATGCAGAGGAACAGTCAAAACATTGTTTTCCAAATGATATAGTCAATACTTCTCTATATCCTTCCCAAAGATAGACATTTTTTTTTTTTGAAACAGAGTTTCACTCTTGTTACCCAGGCTGGAGTGCAATGGCCCCATCTCGGCTCACCGCAACCTCCACCTCCTGGTTCAGGCAATTCTCCTGCCTCAGCCTCCTGAGTAGCTGGGATTACAGGCACGCACCACCATGCCCAGCTAATTTTTCGTATTTTTAGTAGAGATGGGGTTTCACCATGTTGACTGGGGATGGTCTCGATCTCTTGACCTCGTGATCCACCCGCCTCCGCCTCCCAAAGTGCGGGGATTACAGGCTTGAACCACCGTGCCGGGCCATTTTTTTTTTTTTTTTTGAGACGGAGTTTCGCTCTTGTTACCCAGGCTGGAGTGCAATGACACGATCTCGGCTCACCGCAACCTCTGCCTCCTGGGTTCAGGCAATTCTTCTCCCTCAGCCTCCTGAGTAGCTGGGACTACAGGCACGCGCCGCCGTGCCCAGCTAATTTTTTGTATTTTTAGTAGAGACGTGGTTTCACCATGTTGACCAGGATGCTCTCGATCTCTTGACCTCGTGATCCACCCGCCTCGGCCTCCCAAAGTGCTGGGATTACAGGCGTGAGCCACCGTGCCCGGCCCTCCGGCCATTTTTTTAAATAACTCTGTAGTACAGTTATTTAATTAACAATGTTTTTTTCACATCCTAATTGATAAAGTCTGCTAAAAAAAACATCTGTTTTATAAAGGCTGACCAATACCTTCACTCAAAAAGCTCACTTGGGCATAAATCTATCTGTGCCTGAAGAAAAACACATCTGTGGTTGTCTTAGAGACATGGAACTTGCAGCCTATTAATATAAAAATTTGCACCTTTACGATTTCTCAGTATTTTCCCATAATGAGCAGCTCTTTGGAGTGTAATAAAAAAGCAAGGGAAGAAAATAACCATTCCCAGCATTTGTTTTAGGGCATTATCAGTCAACATTTTAGAACAGACACCAGGTTACCAGATACCACAATTGTTAGTACCTTCACCAGCAGGCAGCACCCAGTGAGTTAGGGCAGAAATAGATCTCTAATGTTTCTCCCTTTGGAGGGGCGAGAGTGGAGAGAGGTGCGAGAAGGGGCTATCCGGGTTGCCGGCGCCGCGCTGGAGCCTTGTCCTCCCCCGCCCCGCTCGCAAGGTCGCCAGAAGCCTGAGCTGTGCCGCCCACGCTCGGAAACTCACTTGTAAGAAACTCTTGGGGATTCTGGCCAGATCCTCCACGTATTCCTTGCAGATGTAACACAGGAAATGCTGGAATCCAAGTCGGCAGAAAGGGCAAGTTAGAAACGCAGCGCCCTTAGGTCCCGAAGGAGCCCCGTACTTCGCCGTGCGCGACCCGAGCAGAGGCGACGCTCGCGGGGCGGGGACTGGCAGCCCGTGCGCCCGGCGCGTGGGAAACGGGCCTCGCCCTCGCCCTGCCCCGCGCGGGCTGGGAAGCGGCCGCGGCTGGGCGGGCTGCCTTCCGGTTCCCGTCCCAAGAAGCAGGAGGCGCGGCTCGCATCCCAGCCGCCTGGCCTGGACCCCGCTCCCTCCCGCCCCGCCGCCCGCTCACCCGCACGAACACCACCACTGCGCGGCGCTCCCGGAACAGCGCGCCGAACGGCACCCGCTGCCCGCGGGCGTCTAGCACTGGCAGCTCGGCCACGGCGGCCGCCAGGGACTGCCCGCGCTCGGGGCCGCTTGGGGCCGGGACCGGGGCGGCGCCGCCGCTAACCTGCCGCGTGACCGGGCCGGGCGCGGCCATGGCGCGGGGAGGCCAAGGGCCCGGGCCGCTCCGCGAGGGCGGGGCGGGACGGTGCGCGGAAGGCGGGACGCGCAGAGGCGGGGCCTGGCCAGTCTCCTTTTTCGCGGCGCTGCGCTGGCCTGGGAGCTCCCTGAGGGAGCCCAGCGCGAGGTTCTGACTCAGCTCTCTGGGTAGGGGACAGAAAGTAAGGTCTGTCCAGGACGAGCCAGCGTTACTGAGGAAGGAAGCCTCCCGCGCCCTCCGTAGCCACCTGGGCGGATGTTCCCTATTCGAGAACTAACGGGTATATGTATAAAAGGTGGGCTACGGACGTGCCAACCTTTTGTACCGACACAGGTCGGGCCTGTAATCCTAGCGGTTTAGTTGGCCGAGGAGGGAGGATCACTTGAGGCCAAGAGTTCGAGACCAGCCTGGGTAACAGGGAGACCCCCCCCGCCATCTCTTTTTTTTTTTTTTTTAATAAATAAGCTGGGCGCGGTGGCTCACGCGTATAATCCCAGCATTTTGGGAAGCCGAGGCGGGTGGATCACGAGGTCAAGAGATCGGGACCATCCTGGTCAACATGGTGAAACCTCGTCTCTACTGAAAATACAAAAAATTAGCTGGGCATGGTGGCGCGTGCCTGTAATCCCAGGTACTCGGGAGGCTGAGGCAGGAGAATTGCCTGAACCCAGGAGGCAGAGGTTGCGGTGAGCCGAGATGGCGCCTTTGCACTCCAGCCTGGGTAACGAGCGAAACTCCGTCTCAAAAAAAAAAAAACCAAAAATTGGCTGGTCGTGGTGGTGCGCGCCTGTAGTCCCAGCTACTCGGGAGGCTGAGGCAGGAGAATCGCTGGAACCCAGGAGGCGGAGGTTGCAGTGAGCCAAGATCGCGCCACTGCACTCCAGCCTGGCTAACGAGAGTGAAACTCCGTCTCAAAAAAATAATAATAAATAAATAAGTAAATAAAAGGTGATCTGGGAGGGATGAGGATGATGAAGTTAGAGGGCTTAGCATCTGTTTTGTAGAAATGCCACACTTGCAATTCAGTTTTTCCTGGTTCAGGTAGGCAGGCACAGAAAAATCTGGGGATCTCCTCAGCCTTTGTGAGACCAAACTGGCCCCAGGTTTAGAGGCTGGTCTTTCTCTCGGGTTTTTCATGGGTGCTAACCATGTGTTCAAGAGTTCCAGAGCAGGACCAGAAAACATTCAGGCTCTTTGTCTTCATAAGTTTACTCACCCTCGTGTATGGATTTGGGGTTCAGAAAGTACATCCTTTATGGATTTGTCGAGTTGAAGAATATTTTTGGGGTGGAGTGCCAGGCAGGTCTAAGTGACTGATGTGACTCAGCCATAAAGTACAGGAAACGCTGATTCTGCATCCTCTGGCTTTCACTTGTGTGAAGATCTTATACTTTGTTGAGGACACATTAAGTGCTCTGTTTGAGAAGCTCTGCGGTGCGTTTAATTCAGGATAGTTTCTTTCTGAGACAGGGTGTTGCTCTGTCACCCAGACTGGAGTGCAGTGGCATGATCATGGCTCACTGCAGCCTCCACCTCCTGGGCCCAAGCAGTCCTCCTGCCTCAGCCTCCCGAGTAGCTGTGATCACAGGAATGTACCACTATGCCTGGCAATTGTTAAAAATTTTATTTTTTATAGAGACAGGAGTCTCCCTATGTTGCCCAGTCTGGTTTTGAACTTGGGCTCAAGCAATCATCTTGCCCTGGCCTATTGAAGTCCTGGGGTTACAGGCATGAGCCACTTGGCCTGGCGAGGAGCTTTATGATTTTTTGGAAATAAATGTATGACCAGAATACAGTAACAGGCTGATAAACAGCATTGGCAACAGGCAGTTTGCCAGATGTGACCAATTTGTTGTAAGCAGTGTTTTGGTAAGCAGAAGTTGATATACAGATAAGAGTGGTGGTATTTTGGCAGCTCTAATTAAGGGCTGACATCAACAAACAAAAAGTTTTCTTTGACATTACTGCTCTCAGTGTCATATTTCACATGAAATAAAAATTACAGGTTAGATGATTTCATTTTCAAATACAAAGAGCCATATGACTTAGTTTTGCAGAGTGATAAACTCAGACATCATCAAAAAATAGTTTTGTAGGAGGAATAGTAGCCAGGCAGAAATGCAGAAATTAGAAGGTATTGTCTAGGGAGCATCAGTACATGACTGAATGAGACACTGAGACGAAGTGCATGTAGCAGGTATCAACTTATTGCTTCTCAATTCCAAATTAACCCTTCACTATATGCTCTTTGACAATGGACAGATTTCCTCCAAGCATCTAACCTTTGCAATGAGCGATATAGTAAGCATTTTCAGTAGACAGTGTTGGTGGGACTTTGCAGGAGGAAGGGGATTTCAAATAGCCCCCTGAGGATAGTGGGTGGAGCTCTGCCTCTGGCACTTTACCGGGATACACACTTCCTTGGCAACATTGCTGTCATTGGCTGTTCTAAGCAATAACCTTGTAGCACCTCATTGATATGAAAACTGGAACTTGAAAACAGTCCTCACTCCATCAGAAGTGAGGACTGTACCCCCAATTCCTCACCTGCACCCCAATTCCTTGCCTGCACCCCCAATTCCTCACCTGCACCCCAATTCCTCACCTGCACCCCCAATTTCTCACCTGCACCCCCAATTCCTCACGTTCCCATTGAGTCACCACTCTCTATAGAGCTATTGGCTCACCTGTGTACCCAGCACCGTTCCCTTGGCGCTCATACCACTGCTTGCTGATGACATATGCCCTGCCTGCATTTTAGTGGGTTGTTTCCTGCCTTCCCCTTGACTGCACACCAGATCCGGCCTGGGCAAGCCACCAAACTTCTGCCCAGTAGCTATCCAGTAGGCTGACCTACACCTGCTCCAGTCAGATCTGAAACCCAGATTTGGGAAAGGGGTCCCTTTCAAGTTTGTCTTCTTTGAGTATTTATTTGTCCTCAGCCATGATTTTCTTAATATTTTCTAGACACATTTTTTCAGAGATGGAGTCTCACTTTTCACAGGTGCTATGATTGTAGCACACTACAGTCTCGTACTCCTGGCCTCAAGCAATCCTCCTGCCTCAGCCTCCTGAGTAGCTGAGACTACAGGTGCATGTCACATGCCTAACTGATCAGAGTTTAGTCATTCATTACATTAAACTTTCCCTGTTTAACCTGCAGCGTGGTTTCAATCTCATTATTGGACCCAGACTAATACAGCACCCTTAGATACTATGATTAAGGAAAAGTAAATGCAAACTCTTACCGTTTCTATTCCATTATTATTTAGGAATGAACTGTGAATATACGGTGATATAACTGCATAGGTACAAGCAGTTCATATGTCCATGGTTTAAAACGAATCAAAGAACATTGAAAAATACAGAGACAGCACTACATGTGTGTAGAGTTGCCAATGTAAACTCTATGTTGGCCAAGAAAGCCTCCTCCAAAATATCTTCTGACAAGTCTAACTAGAGATTCAACTGCCAAGAATATAGCTCTGAGGGGACAATACAGTGTGTATAGTTTTTCTTTTCTTTTTTTTTTTTTTTTGAGACGGAGTTTCGCTGTTGTTACCCAGACTGGAGTGCAATGGTATGATCACGGCTCACCGCAACCTCCGCCTCCCGGGTTCAAGCAATTCTCCTGCTTCAGCCTCCCGAGTAGCTGGGACTACAGGTGCGCACCACCATTCCCAGCTAATTTTTGTATTTTTAGTAGGGACGGGGTTTCACCTTGTTGACCAGTATGGTCTCGATCTCTTGACCTCATGATCCACCCACCTCGGCCTCCCAAAGTGCTGGGATTATAGGTGTGAGCCACCGCGCCCGGCCTTTTTATTTTTTTTGAGACGAGTTTTGCTCTGTCGCCGAGCTGGAGTGCAGTGGAGCAATCTTACTGCCACCTATGCCTCCTGGGTTCAAGTGATTCTCCTGCCTCAGCTTGAGTAGCTGGGACTACAGGCACACGCCACCACATGCCAAGACCAGCTCGGTCGTGGAGACCCCAACCCGGTGGTGCTGAAGGAATTAAGAAACGAACACAAAGATTGAACAGAAAGGTGCGATAGTATGGCTAACAGCCTTCCAAGCTGAGAGCCTTGAGCAGACGCCGACCCATGTATTTATTCTCTCTGAATAGGTGATTATTATTAATAAGCAGGTGTTCTGTGTTTTCTCACAGAACAAAGTTAAACTAGGTGGGCAGCTGGTCCTGCGAACTACTGATCAAAGACAATCTAAAAAGCATTCTCCATGAGGGAGCAATGGGGACAGGGTCACATATCCCATGTTTAAAGAACTAGTTTAACTGGTGTGTGATATACATATACTATTTAGTATTTTAGAATGCCTTGAGCAGTTTTCCACTTGGGGGGCTGGCTTGGTTTTCCTTACTGTCGTTCAATACAATCCATATGTTAGGACTTGCCCCAGCAACCACACCCAGCTAATTTTTGTATTTTTAGTAGAGACTGGGTTTCACCATTTTGTGAAGATGATCTCGATCTCCTGACCTTGTGATCCTCCCCCTTGGCCTCCCAAAGTGCTGGGATTACAGGTTTGAGCCACTGTGCCCAGCTTGTTTTTCTTAATTTGTTAATTTAAAAAAATCTTTCCCCTTTTTGTGGTAAAATATATATGACATAAAATTTCCCACATTGACCATTTTTAAGTGTATAATTCATTGGCATGAAGTATATTCACATTGTCGTGCCTGCACTATCATCTCTCCGAAGTTTTTCATCATCTCGAACTGTAACTCCATAACCATTAAACACCAATTCCCCATTCCCTGCTCTACCTAGCCTCTGGCAACCATCATTCTACTTTTTTTCTCTATGAGTTTGATTACTCCAGTTATCTTATATAAGTAGAATCATACAGTATTTATCCATTTGTGATTAACTTACTTCACTTGGCACAATGTCTTCCAGGTTCATTCTTGTTGCAGCATGTGACAGGATTTCCTTCCTTTTTAAGCCTGAATAATATTCCATTGTATGTATCTACTGCATTTTCTTCATTCATCTGTTGATGGACATGTGGGTTGTGTCCATCCTTT